CAAGAGTAAAAGCAATTAAACCACTTAAAATATCTTTTCAAATGTTTCAATTTATGATTTTTTTTATACTTAATATTTAACCATATAGAAGAGATTCCAAGGGTGCTTATCTTTCAAAATAAGAGCTCGGTCAACTGGATCTTTGGAAAATCAGATTTGGGCTCCCTATGCCAATTTTGACTTGGTCAAAATTCCCTAATAATGTTGTCCAGAGACTCCAAGAACCCTTCGTTCTCTCTCCGTCACTTTCTCACTTTGTTGTACTGGTTGTCGATAGAGAGAGCCTTCCGCTTTATTTGTTGTTGTTGACCTTTCGAATTTGGCAGCCGCTAGGTTGGCCCTCGATCAGTAAAGCGGGATGAGAAGGGAGATGCCCTTGGATTCCGCTGCTGCCCTTTGTCATCGGAGAACATCGCCGCTCGCTTTGATCAGAAGACTCGGGCGGCAAGTCTTCTGCTTTGAAATCCTCTGCCATGGCCGGCGCACAGAATGATGGTGTGAGAGAGCAAGGCAGCGGCGAGCGGATTAGACCCCTTCCCTGGTACATCGGTGAAGAACGGAGGTAGCTGAAGATCAGCGAGACGTAGCAGGAGAGGTTTGGAGTAGAGACGACGAGTTGCGGCCCTTCAGCGTTGGGAGAGACCATGAGCGGTGGTGGCGGCAGTTTGCAGATCTCCAGTGTCAGGCAAGACTTTGAGCCTGGGCGGCTGCAGTTCGCAGACCTCTAGCGCCGGTTGCAAGAACTAGGGCTGGGTCCCAAAAACACAAAACCGAAAACCGAATCAAATTAAACCGAACCGTGACCAAATAAAACTGAACCGCTAAAAAACGAAACGAATGTAAAAAACCGAACTGAACCGCTAAAAAATGAAACGAATGTAAAAAACCGAATTGAACCGTAGTAGTTTGGTTCGGTTTTGGTTTTTACCCTTCAAAACCGAACCGAAGAAACCGAACATAAATAAATCATGAAATTTTATTTGTTAAATGTAAGCATTAATCTTAATATCATCAATAATCTTTGAATTTCTTGTGCTAGAGAAATAATGTTTATGCTATGTTTAGTTTAGTTTATAAACACATTTACACATTCATTGCCCATAATAATGTAGTTATATTGATCTATTATGTCTTTTATGTATGTATGTTGCAATTTGTTGCATGATTATATGTTTTTACTAGTTATTAGTAGTAATTAACTTTTATTTTTATGTAACTTAATTCTTTTTTGTAACTTAACTTTTTTATATTGACAAAACAAATAAATATTCATCTCGGCTAAATCACACAGGACATATGTATTCATAAACGTTTTTCAAACTAGTCACAAACATTGTAAATTAAGAATAGATACAAACTTTTATCTCTCTCGCATACTCATATAATTCAAGACATATTTGTTTGTTATTATTTTCTTCATTTGTTCAAGTATGCTTGCATTTTTATGTAATATGTTTGATCCCTCCAACTTTTATATCAATTTTAAATTAAATGACAAATATTTAGTAAAAACCCGAAAAAATTGAAACTGAACTGAAACAAACCGAACCAATCAAACCGTGGTTTGAAGTTTTGGAGTGTAAAACCGAACCGAAACCGAACCGAACTTTTAATTTGGTTCCGTATTTGGTTTTAGGTCAAAACCGAACCGAAAGAACCGAACACACCCCTAGCAAGAACTGTGTACAAGTAGATACCCGGCTGGCAGCGGTCCGGACGGCGACCACACAACTAGCTCAGATATCCAAATTTCCAGATTTCTTTCTCTTCTGAATTTTGGGATTGATATTTCCTCCTTTTCCCTGAACTTTCCTGGTTGATTCCTACTAAGAGTGATGAGAGAGACGATAGAGACTCTCAATGAAAGCACCAATGTTGGTCCAAAATAGGATGCTCGTAGACTTTTAGAAAAACTACGTTCGACACTCAAGCAGGAATTAAGAAAATAATACGAGAATGGAAAGTGCTCAGGGAAGTTTAGTTGCCAAGAATAGCTTATAGAATTCGCCTCCCTAATCTAAATTACAACCCGCATTTTATAGGCGTATACAAATCGTAACCGCTACCGATAATGATGACTAATTAATTACAACATTAATACGAAATTAAATACATAATTAATAGCGCATTAATTGCTTGACCACTTTCTTCCGGGTTGGGAGGTCGGCCGGACTGGCAGGCTCCCCGCTGGGCTGACAGGCAGGCTCCAGGTTGTGGACTTGGATCCACGGGTCCAAGTTCGAGGCTTGGGCTGATTAGGCTCTGGGCCTAGTCCCATTACTCCATCACCTGTGATGTTATAAATGTATTGATGGAGTATATGGCCCGGGAACCCCCGGCCCACAGACTCCTACTACACCAATAAAGGCCCAACCGGCCCAGGAAGCACAGCAGGTCCAAATTACGGCGCCCCCAAGCACTTAGCAGCCCACAGCGCGCACTGGGGAGCCTTCGGCCCCTGACCGAAGGCTCAAAACTCTCACAGAACGGGTTTTTCAAGCAAACTGAGAAACTGGGAGAAAAACGGCGGAAATCAGTAGCCCTCGGCACCTGGAGCCCTCGGCGCCAAGGGGGTCCCTAGTACTCGGTGCCCTCGGCTAGTCCCCTACAGTCGAGGGCACCTTCCCCGACATGATATCTGCGCCACATGCGTACAAATCACCGTACCCTGTGCAACGTCCCATCCAACAACCGCATTAAATGCGGCCACATGCGGTTGCCAGCGCCAACCAGATGAGGTGACCTCTCGGCCAATGGACGCTTGACACGTGTCCCTGTCCGGCATTTATTGCTACTATAAATAGCACCTCATTTCCCCGTTTGTAACCAAGTCACAAGTCATAAACGCTGCATACTTTCTAAATACACTTTCTCTCTCTATACTTACTTGCTCTGACTTCTCTCTTGTTATTCCCCGCAATAACCCCCCGGATAAGCTACCCCCCGGGTACACTATCCATCATGTATTGTTTTTTAATATTTAATGATTAGTTTGTCACTTAAGATTGCTAATTGTTTTCTAAAATGGAAATGAGAACCTTTATATGGAACGTCCAAAAAAAGAAAGTGAGAACCTTCTAATGAGACGGAGGGAGTGTATGCTTGAGTACAAACAAATGCTTACTCTTACGTAGTTCCGTATGAATACTTGAGTAGTCCACATGGCATTTTTATAGTAAATAAGCAAAGTAAGGAGAGAACACATATGGCTTCGTTTGTTTTTCAGCAGGTCCTTAGCAAACCGCTGCATAAGCTTTTAGAGGGTGAAATAGAATTTTGATGAGCTATTTCCTTTCTTATACTCCGTATATAAATGCGTGTAGGCAGGGGCGTATCTTCTTTGTTCAGGGGGTATTCATGTGAACACCCAAAATTTTAAAGATACAATACAAAAATACATGTTAAGAATTGATGTAATAATTTTTTTATTTAATATCTTAGTGGTAAAATAATTTTGAACACCCAAAATCTGGTTGCAAGATCCGCCACTGCGTGTAGGGAAACTTTAGATAATGTTTTTGAGTGCTATAATTTTATGAAAGTATTTACAACAAAAAAACATCCACATATCATATTTATTTTTATAAATAATTTTATATAAAGATATATTATACATCAAAGTTTAACTTAATTGACTAAACAATTTAATTAAAGATTATAAAATTTGAAGGGCAACTCATGTATGTTCATTTAAATAAGGGAAAAAGGGATAAATAAGTCTTCGAACTAATCGAAAAAGTGTAAATCACCCCTTTTATAGGAGGTTCTGTCCGAACGTCGTCATTTGAGGCGGTTCCAGGTGGAATTTTTTGATGAAATTTTTTTAGCATCTTCTTCATTAAGTCTAGTTTACGCATACCAAATGTTAGCTAAAATTTTAATCGTGGAGGCAGTCAAATAAATGTTTGAAGATAACTGTGCAGTTAAACAGTGCAGTATATTTCAGAAAATCATTTGATTGGCTTCCCGATTGAATTTTTACCTGAAATATGATATGAGTAAACTAGACTTAATCAAGAAGATGCTTAAAAAAATCATCAAAAAATTCCACCGGTAACCGCCCCAAATGGTGATGGTCAGACAGAACGTCCTATAAAATGAGTGATTTGCACTTTTTCGATTACTTCAAGGGTTTATTTGCACATTTTCCTTTCAAGTAAAGATGATAAAATTCAGTATGTGTAGCTATGAAGTTTGTACCGGGCACATCATGGTACAATGTATGCAGGCATGTCGCATTACTGGTCTAATGATAATACCGAAGCTACAAATCAACGCATATGTGTGGCCCTCAATGAATAGTCGTAGGACATGGGTCTAGTTCTAGGGTTATGTCACGTCTCAATTCCAAAAATATCCACTCCGTACACAACATATATAAAAGAAAAATACTTTGGAGATCAAGGCTATGATTACTACTCCCTCCGTTTCCTATTAAAGTTCCCAGTTTGACTTCACACAGATTAAGAAAATAAATTTGACTTTACTGTGGAGTGCACTGTTAGGCACTGTTTGGCACTGTTTGAACACTGTTTGACACTGTTAGGCACTATTTTGCACTGTTTTGTTTCCTACAATGGAAGTGTGAACTTAAATAAGGGACATCCCTAAAAGGAAAGTGAGAATTTTAATACGAACCGGAGGGAGTATCATTTGCCTGCTACAAATACGAACCGGAGGGAGTATCATTTGCCTGCTACAAATACTCTCTTCTAGAGATGTGAAATTATGTGTATTTAAGTATGATGTTATGATCTAATATGTTTGATATTAGGATGGAAGATAGATGATATGATTAAAATCATATTAGGATGATTTTAAAAATATTCGTAGGGATAAACCATATGAGGATGGAAGATAGATGATATGATTTGATTTAACATGTTTAAGTTTGATCCTATTTAAAAATAAAAAAGTTTTCAATTGTAAATTTCTAATTTAATTTGGTCTAATGTAATACGAAATACGAATATATGTTTAAGTTTGATCCGGTCTAGTATGATAAATATCGGTATTTTACTTTCTTTATATTTAGACTAGTCCAATAAATTTTAGTCTCATTTGATATTTTTAAATCTTCGACCATGGAGGAAAACAAGTTTAAGCCAAAACTTTCTAAATAAAAAGGAAATCCAAACAAACATTCAAAATACATTTATTGAGATCTAATGAACATTTAATTTTTCAGTTCTTTCTAACATATTCTTCTATTCCGAAACTTGGAGCCCGTTTGGTATACGTGATTTTTTGCTTTTCAAGTTTATCAGCCAACTTTTTCATCAAACACGTATCTTTTAATTTCACGCGCTGAATTGTGTAATAATAAGAAAAAGTAATGTTGGGATTACTTTTCTAACTGAAGTTACTGTAGATGACCATTTTAGTTATTTTTCATATGCATTTTTTTTATTTTATTAATAAAATATATTTAAAATATTTTTTTCCATTAATCAGCAGAATCAGTCAATTAATTTGTATAATTCTCGCCCATTCTTTTTCTAGTATATGGAGTATATAGTTCCTAAATTCCAAAGTACTTGCCAACCATTCCAAGTTGTCATGTACCACTCCTCGTGAATGACGCATCATACGGAGCAAAAGTTAAAAGTTAGTACGTACTAGTACAATACAAAGCCTCAAATTATGAACTCAGATTATTATGACCGAGTAAAAATGAAAGAGATTTTGTAGGATAATAACAACTCTTAATCTTAACATCCATTTTTACCCATGGAATGTACAATTAAGGTTTAAAAAAGTACGTACTTTGCGCAATACTTAGTCTTGAACCAGAATATTATTGTCTTCAAGATTTAAGAGACATAATGCATGAACTCCATGTCCTTCTCAAGTCCACCCATAGTCTCCGGTGCCAAAACGACCTCAAGATCTATGCTCCCGTTTCCCTCCCGACCGGGGAAGGCGGAGATCTTGCCGTCAAACTTATTGGCGGTTCCGCTCCGGACCGCCAATGGACGGCCCCACCCGAAATCGTTGTCGTACATTGGGAATCTTGGTGAACTCCCCATGGTGATCATCGCACCGTCGAAATTCCCCAGAGGAAACAACCGTGGGTTACTCTCCCAATCCCGTATGCCGCGTCGCACCGTAGCATTGTCATGGGCCACCACATTATGGTGCAACATGTCGGCGGCCCAGCCCAAGTCATGGGATAACAGCTCCTCTGTAACGGCAACGGTAGGAATGCTTTGAATGGCGTTGCCTAAATATAACGGCTCAAGCCGCGGCTCGAGCCGGTGCCTGCAGTTTATTGCCATCCTGAACGTCGTCGTTTTGCTTCCATCCAGTTTTCTAGCCCTCGTCACGGACCGCCACAGCTGAGCGCATAAAGACTGGAAAGACGAAACCTCCCAAGCCGCCAGCTTCGGAGCCGCGACGTTTTCTAAACCCGGCTCTTCATTAACGGGCGTTATCTTGCCGTTACACAATTTTCCGTTATTAGCTCTCTGCTTAAGCTTCAATATAGCATCCCTGCTAAAATGGAATATCTTTTCTCGTATAGACTCATCCCCGGAGAAAGTTGCCGCCGGACCGCCGACGGGGAATTTAAGAACCGCCGGCGAGTTGAACACAGTGTCCCGGCCGAAGTACGGCACTTTGCTTATCTTCTCCGCTCCCCTGCAAATCTCAGCATAAGAATTAAAGAAGTTCCAGAACGACGTCCCATCGACGACGGCATGATTCATGGTGCACCCAATGAAGACGGTGTCGGCCATCTCCGTCACCTGCACAGCCAGCAACGGGTTGGAATGCCCGGCGTAGCTGAGAGTGTTGTCCAGCTGAAAGAACTTACGGAAGCTCGCCGGAATGTCGGCGTCGGGAGAGAGAAGAACAGCGGCGGTGAGATGGGGTGCTTTTGCATGTACAAAGTCAACGCCCTCGGCGTTTGAGTGGATATAGACATGGCCTGTAGCGTCGGTGTGGAGGCGGCCGGCGAGGGCGGAGAAGTGGGAGAGAGTCTTGGAGAGAGAGAGCTTGAGGAGAGAGATCAAAGCGGCGGAGTCCGGCGGAGGTTGGGGCAGTAAGACGCCCTTCTGAATGTACTGACAGGATAACATGGGAAGATCCGAAACAGATAGCTTCAAGTATTTGGGGAGGTTGGATTCACATTCTGGGTAAACTGTGCTTTTGGAAATGACAACAATTGAAGATGAAGGCATTTTTTTCCTTGTTTAGATGAAAAAATAAGAGAAGGGGCTGAATGGGAAGAAAGTTTGAAAGTGTGGATATATTTATAGATAAAATGGTTCATCCACTTGGAAGTTTGGATGGGTATTTAGAGCATCTCCAGTGGGTGAACCGTTCACATTTATAAACGTCGCCACATCATGATGTCAACATTATTCATACTAATTTCGTCTCCAACGGAGCCTCTCTAAATTCATGTGAATCTGACGTGTTAAAAAAAACCGTGAACACTGTTCAAGCAAATGTCTTATGATAACAGCGTCTTCCACAAGATGAGTCAGCAATACGCCAACAAAAAATCCAGAAAATAGGAAGTCTCTCGCCCATAAACCATCTCTGCGCCATGATTGATCATCCACGATATACACCCAAGTAGTGGGTTTCTGTTTGGCAAAAATAATTTCACATGTAGTCTCTATACACCACTTATATATACAGAATATATATCAAGAACAAAAAGCATTCATAGGTTCAAGGTATTCCCTAATTAATATTGTTGTATCTTTAAATTACTTCTTCTCTAACATAAATTTCCAAACCAGATCTTTGTAGTGATACAGGCGCCCAAGTAATCCACAAAATTAGTGGGGATCACACAAGCTGTGTGATACGATAACTCCACAAAATTTGTAGTTGACACTATATGATCGATGCTTCGTGGCTTTTGATATTTAAAAGAAATGATACAAAATTTATCAATTATGTAAACTTGGCAACACATCCTCAAGGTTTGGAGTGTGGGTAGGCACTAAGCAAGTACAGCAGGAGGATTTTTGATGAAATATGATGTACGCAGTATTTCATCTTGAAAATATACGGTTGACACGTGAACTTTTAATAGGGCTGTTAACAGGAAGCATTGGACAGATTTATTGGGCCTCACGGTTCAGGTGCATCCTACCAAAATGATGTGGATGACTATTCCATTCATTGAGTGACATGTGTTATAATTTATTTTATGTTAACAGTTGCCCATTGGTGATGCTCTTACCGATCTTTGTTTTAGAGTCTTGTAAGTTGTAACCTTTCTTCTGACCCCTACTTGTTGGGGCTTTATTTTTATTACGAGTATTATTATTACGAGTATTATTACGGAGTATTATTATTAGTAGAGCATTACCAAACTTGTGTTATTAGAGCATCTCCAATGTTACAATGTGCACGGTGCACATGTGACATGAGAGAGATAGACACAAAATACTCCGTATTGATTTTATGACATATCTCTCTCATTCTTTCAACGGTCTTATGTGTTTTTGGTAAGTTTTTGTCTGCAATATCAACTACATTGTCTACATCTAGACATTGTACTTGACATTGTGAAGAAAAACTTATCAAAATAATGTAAGATTCTTCAAATAAGGAGAGAGATATTCTGTTTAATGTTTTTTAGTTGGTTATTTTTCATGTCGCGTATGCACCGTTAACATTTTAGCATTGGAGATGCTCTTAATACGAAGTGTACACTTATTTAATACTCCATGTATATTGAAAATTTTAAATTTGACATCATTGATAGAAGAAATGTTTATTGGAGAATCTAATACTTCCTTCGTCCCATTAGAAGGTTCCCACTTTTCTTTTTTGGACGTCCCGTTAGAATGTTTCTATTTTTATTTTAGGAAACAATTAACAATCTTAAGTGACAAACTAATCATTAAATATTAAAAATAATACTTCTATAACATCATAGTTATCAATACTAACTACATTATAATATATACCTATTGAAATTATTTCTTAAAATATACTCGAAGTAATTTATTTAATTATTGCCTAAATAACTGTGCCGTTTTGCTATGGGAACCTTCCAACGTTGGTAGTAATAGTTATTGCTTCCCATCTCGCTTTTCTATTTCCGTCTCTATTTTTCAAGACTTATAATTGCATTTATAGTTTGTTTGATAGCATTGAAATTCGCTGAATACATAGAATATTTCGGGATTGGTGAAATTTTGAATGAACTGGTTGAATCTGTTGAATTGTGAAAATATATGGATGAATTAGATTAAGTTCTTTATAGTTTTATGATAGTATTTTTAACAAAGAACATTTTCGTATCATTTTCATATTATCGATATTTTCTCTATATAAACATACAATCGTTCAAAGTTAGACAACATTGACTTGAAAAGTCAAGTTTGGCTAACTAAAATAGGACGGAGGAAGTATAAAATACAATAACTCCTCCGTTCTTTTTTAATTGCAATAGTCCACTTTTCACTTTTGCAAACGCACAAATTTGAACATTAATATCATTCCTTCCTTATTCATAAAAAAATTAAAAACTCATATTTTGAAAATTTAAAATGAGAGGAATTTAAAAAAAAACATTTAAATATTTAATTTATAATACATTAATTAATAAAATATAGTCAAAGTAAAATATGTGAATAGTGCAAAGTCCCTTGTTGCAATTAAAAGAGAACAAATGTAGTATATCTGTAACATCACAATTATTTAACAAAATTATTATTTAACAAAGTATATTTGAATTAGTTTGTTAAAATATTCTCTAAATTAACCATTTGTCATTTTACAATAGAAATCTTTAATTGGAACAAATGTATTACTCCCTTTGTTCCAGAATTATCTCCAAACCTTTCTTTTTCGTTCATCCAAAATTATTTCTTCTTTCCTTTTCTGGCAAAAAAATTGTTATTCATACCATTTGTTACACATTCTTACATATTTATCTCTCATCTGCACAATTCGCCATCACATGATGCTTATTATTTTTATCGTGCATCATTTGTACTTCAGATGATAAATATATGACAGGAGAAAGTATAAATTATTGGTTTCAATTTCAAAATACATGTTTGTACGGAATGTTTATTTATACGTACCCCACCTCTTTTATAGGAATACTCTGAATCTAGACTTCAGGGTTGCACGGAAACTTTCATTCTTAATAAGTTTGGTACCTCTAGGACCTACCCTTATCGTTGGACTCATATGTTCTTGGACCCTTTTCCGTAAAATGTTCCCAGATGAGGGTACACTACTACTTCGAAAAAAGTACCCCGTAATATAAAAACAAACAAAAAACAAAACAAAATTTAAAGAAGAGGTTGGTAAGCTAAAATTAAAAGTGATCATATCCGTTAATTAATCGAATTTTATACTCGGTGGGAATTTATACGTATTTGTAATAAAATATCAATTGCCAAAATGAAGAATGATTCCTAAAATATATCAACTATTACACACTTTCAAATTGTGTGGGAGAAACAACGTGTGTGTTGTTCTTTAATAAATGAAACTACTGACTAGATAAACTCTTAGTAAAAATATCAGCTAAGTGAAGATGAGTGGGAACATATTTTACTACTAAATCGTCATGCACGACTCTCTCACGAAGAAAATGATAGTCAATCTGAATGTGTTTGCTCCGAGCATGGTGAACTGAATTAGCCGTCAAATAAGAGACAGAAATATTATGACTGAACTACGGAAGAGCTGTATCACAATATGAACGGAAATCCAATTTCAAAAAGGACAGATCTGATGTGTAATGTGTCCTATAATGTATAAGCAATATCATGATATTTAGCCTCTGTAGATGATTTAGACATTGTAGGCTTCTTCTTGGACTTCCATGACACTGCAAAATCTGTAGTAGATCGAACGCTATCTGGACAACCTGCTCAATCATCATCAGAATAGGCCAAAATATATATAGGGCGCCGATAGAAGTCTGTAGCCATAATCCATGATCAATAGTGCCCTGTAAGTAGCAAAACATACGCTTGACACAAAAAATCTGAGTAGTACGAGGAGCATTGATAAGTCTGTATTACATCACACATTTGATGCGTGTTGGAATCGGCTTTTGACAGTTTTTTCTAACTTTAAGGGTTATAAATATCAATTTTAGCTCAAGTCACATTTATTGGGCATTGGTACAAGTTTGGTACCTTTTGGAGTCAAAATCAAGGAATTTAAGCCCGACACCGGCGCATGAGAAGCATTTGAGATGTGTTGAGGAGCATTCAAGAAAGATTTGAGAGATTTGGACATCACCGAGAGGTTCACGACAAAGAATCTTTGAAGAAAGAGCCTTTGGAACGATTATGGGAGCGTTTGGAGCAAGAAAAATAAGAGAAAATCAAGTTTTAGGGCACGCACGGACGTGCCCGGGAGGTAGGCACGCCGTGCGTGCGTGGCAGTAGCACCTGGAGACGGAACAGGAGTAGGCACGCCGTGCGTGCTGAGTAGGCACGTCGTGCGTGCTGAGTAGGCACGTCGTGCCTATTGAAGAGGCGAAGCAAGAATGCTTCTGGAGGCCAGGCACGCCGTGCCTGGCAGGTACGCACGCCGTGCGTAAGCGCGAAACACACGTTTTTTCCGCAGGCACAGACGCTAGGCGTGCCATGTGTAGCACTGTGCCTGGATCCGAAAATCTAATTTGAGTCAAATTTTGTCTATTTTTCTTTAAGTAAGGCCTCTATTCTCCCAACAAGGGGATGAAACTTAGAGAGAAGGCCTATCACGAAATTTTGAGAGCTTAGCCTTGTTGTTCAATTCTTCGAGATTCTTTGTAAGTTCCTACATTTTAATTAATGACAATTATTTTTTTTTTGAAAGAATGAGAATTATTTATATTCATCCCAATTTTATTGATTCTTTAATTATGAGGTGCGAGTAGTTCTAATTAGGGATTTGGGATTGATGAAGGGGTTAATCATGACGTATGACTAAATTCACGATGGATTCATTGCATGAATGTTATTTAATTTGTGTTTGAATAATTTAATTGATATCTCTTGTAACCTAGATCTGCAGCCAGAATCACAATTGCTTGTAGAATAAATTAAGAGAGATCTAGTTTATTCGAAAACACATTCACACACACTTAATCGTTCCCTAAGAGATTAGTAACGATTAAGGGGCCGTAAGCTTGCTCATTTTGGCAATAATTTTAGGATCCTGTCACATGAGAGGTCAACCTGATCCCCTAAATTATTGTACTCTACGTCGCAAGCGCGGTAAGAACTTAGTAATGATTAGCTAGACTCAATTAAATTAATTTCATGTGATTA